CGTGAACGGATCATTGGCTATCAATGACCCCGCAGAAAGTCACGGGGAGAACCGCGTATCGATATCTCCGTTTCCTAAGTCACCCCCGGCGCTCTCTGCAACGATCTAAAGTGCGTGCTCGACAATCGCCGATCGGAACTAATACTTCTCGAAAATCTCCCGATGCGTCGTACGCATTTTTCAAACCTTACACAAGCCGACTCGCGATTCCTTTCAATAAAAAAATATAAAATGATTTTACATACAGAGTGAGATATTTAACGTTAAGTTCCAAGTATCTTTGCTGTTTTTTTTTTATATTTGAGGAAAGTATGTGAGGAACAAATTGTGTGGTGGTTTCCAACCACATGATTTTTTCCTGACTATTTCCCTCTAATATAAAAAACAACGGAGATATTTTAGTGCATGGAGAAAAGATGCTGTTCAATCAATAGAATTGATCAATAGCACTGTAGTTGGAATAAATCTTCTTCATTCAATAGCAATGCTATTGAAACTAATACTCGAGCTATTAAAACAGTATGATGTATTAATTGTCACAATACTGCTATTAGATTTATTTTATTCTTATATTAATTTTATTTTTAGTTTTATTTTAAGACAATTTTTTTTGACCATAGCACTGTTGAGTCAACAGCATTTTTTCTCTGTGTACACTAAAAATATAAAAATTAACAAATATTTCCTAGATAGGTATCATTAACATTTATTTAAATGAAAAGAATTTTGATTTAAGTAAATATATTAATGGTACCCACTTAAGAATTATTTGTTAATTTTTTTTCTCAATATAACGTGCTGGGTGAGATTCACTCTGTATATATGTATATATCCGTATATATGTATATATCTTTCTAAATATATCCTTGCCCAAAGAAATCCTAATATCAAATTGTAAAATCAAGATTTTATGATCTATAGGAGGACAGATTGTTTGCGGTTGGATATTTCATCGGAAATATTTCACACATTTGTACCTTCTCCGTTTTGTCTACGCATAACCGAAAACCGGGGCAGAGTCGACGATGTTACATGAATCAAGCAGAAGGGTTGTGCCGAAGGTTAACACATGTCGTCAATGTGCACATAATGACCTTGCTACTGGTTATAATGGCAAAATAATAGCGCGCCCCTTGTCACTCTCTCACATCAATATTAAATTAAGAAACTGTTGATGCAATTTGAAACATCGTTGAAGTAAAAAATCAAATAATAAGCATAAATTCACCGTGTTCACGGCACAACATCTCTAATGACAAGATCGCTTTAACAGGATAATATATAAATTGCAGAATATATATAGAGAGAGAGTAAGAGAGAGAAATCCAAATTACAAAACGTAAATATTAGAAAGAAGAAAAATGAAGAATAATTTCAACTTTCAGAATGGACTTTCACGACTCGGTTAAGTAGCTAGCATCGTATGCGCGCAGCTCATTGTGCTGCGCCGTGTATCGATCAATTGCTGCAATACCTCGCCTGTACAACCAGCTAGAGACTGTCTCTCGCCACAAAGCTATCGTATTCGTTTAGTCTTGTCATAATTGCGGCTTTCGTATCCTTCTGCATTATTCCCGGGGCGCATCGCATAATACATCGCGTATCAATGATCCAAGCGGCTGGGCATTTGCATATTAGCGCGCAACAGTGCCAATTAAACCAATCAGAGAGCATTACGGGGCGAGAACAGATGACGATTTAATTCACCTACCGGTGGCGTGTTCTTCGAGGGGTGAGAAAAAGAGAGGGAGAGAGAGAGAGAGAGAGAGAGAGAGAGAGAGAGAGAGAGAGAGAGAGAGAGAG